TTTAGGCTTTTTCAACTCAGCTAAGATATTCAGGTGCATTTTGTGCCAATAAAGCCCTCGACAATCAAGTTTCGAAAACCATCATTCGAATCCGTACGAACTGAGACTTTGTTAAAGCGACTGAAAGATTCTGGCAGCATCTGCATGTTAGAGCATTTATCATATAATCTCCACATATTTAGCGCTACATGCTTATTTGATTGACTTCGTGAGGGTTAGTTTCGACCAGGTCTTTTCAGCAGAGATTATTTTATTGCAAACTGTACTCTGCACCACTGAGACGAATTATACGAATGCAAGCATGTTGCAACTACGGCGTCTCGGCAGTTGTCAGTGCCGTTTCCATCTTCAGAAGAGGAGCTGACAGACAAGTGCTGGCATGTGGCATGCTAACCGCTCCCCGCAAACATCGGTCTTGAAGTGGATCAATGATCGGTACTTTTTACAATAACTGCTTTCAACATTTCATTTATCAGTCGAACTGATTTGTGGGATAGACATCAGGGGGTCGATTAACTTACACAATTGTCCCTGTTACTGCCCTGAAAAAAGGCTAACTGGCAATTAGATATCAGTTGTCAAATAATGTCCTAGGCCTTTGTGGTAGGTGAGATGAAATTGTATATTTATTTCACCAGAAATAAAATTATTCGCGGCATTACCACTTTTTTCACTATATTGAGTGCTACTGATCAAAAAGGAAGAACTTCATTATATGCCGTTTTCAACCTTCCATTTGATACAGGGTACGTTTCGCTCATAGAAAGGGTCCGCCTGTACGTGTACGAGCTAGTACATTATCTGTCACTAGCGTTGCCTAGAAGTCACCGTCTATGTTAACTACAAAAGCTTAATGACGGATAATTTTGATGGGTTGAAGCTACCGCGATGAACATATTTATAATTTTGGTGCTAATCGGAATGTAGATGTTAACCTGAACACTTCAGTCAATTCAAAACCACTTAGACAACGAACATTTCATCGATTAGCTTAAAGGTTTCTGCAAGATATGTTGTTGTTAAACAGAGGGAAAATAGTCGAATTTCGCCTGTTTCCCTGAAGGATAAGAACACCAATTAACAAAAAATAGTAAAAATCATTGTCTTTCGCAAAAAGAATATATCCAACATTTGCATGCTACCGAGTACATCAGATTAAACAAGGCTTGGTATACTGACAATATCTGACAGTTTAGTTCGTCAATTAGGTTTTTGTTATGCACGTTCCTGGCTGCTGAGTCAGACGCCGCGGTCTGTTTGTCAGCAGAAATCCTAGAGAAACTCAAAGGTGAAAGTCTTTCAACACCTGAAGTTCTGTCCCAGGACGAACTTCATGTTCGATGGGACATTCTGCGAACAGATGAGGGCGCAAGACTGGGTTCGCCGATGTAGGCAAATATCACCGCGGCGGGCCTGCAGAGATTTATTTGTTGGTCTTTCAACACTATGGACCAAATATTTGGTCGGCGTGTAAATGGTAATATAGTCTTCATCTAACAGGATCAACTGCTGACATTCACCAAACTTCTCAATAGGTTTTTCTCGATCAGTTAACAACTAAAAAAGAATTCTCCAAAGACAGTGTATGCCGAGATTCTTTTCCTTTTTTATCTCGCTTTAATAAAGTTTGGTTTTGTCAGATTCCAACAGGCCGTCTACCGCAACAGGAAGATTGTAAGCACAACATATTCGTTTTACAGAAGTGATCGGATGGAAAGACATGCTTCGACAAATTAAGAACATAAACCGAAATCCTATTGTGTTAATCTAGCATAGTTCATGAAGCTACATAATAAGAGCTTAGTATTTCATTACTTCAAGTAGTCCACATATTAGAAGCGTTTAATGTCGGGCCGAGTCGAATTAGAGATCTGTGGAAACGTCAGATTATTTACACCAAACATTATATAATATCTTAGCCTTTGTCTTCAATGCTGCATTTGGCTTCCTAAGACGAATTTTCTCCGCGGTGAGTTCTAACACTCGGATACCTCTACAGCGCGTCTGCGTTTCAGTGGCTAACATTCCAAGAGCCCCAGTCAGTAAGATTTGAGAAGTTCTTCTTTAAATGGCCCAATGACTAACGCATAAAGAGCAAGTAATATCAATAGCGGTCGAGCGACCAACCTGCTAACGGATAAGACGTAATTCATATGAAATATCTGCCTCAAGCACGAAAAATACAGAATTCAAGTGTTAAAATGCACGATGTCTTCGGATATCTTTATTTCAAAAGAGTCGGCATCACTTTGAACTGTTTCACTTCGCTCGACGTTATTGAAGACCTTCTTTGTAGTTAGCATCCAACAGACTCCTTTTCAAAAACTTGTTAAAGTCAGAAGACTGCATCTTGACTAATCCTAATAAAAAGGGGTCTACGCCTCTATAAGGACGTACAGTAGCACTTGTTGGTGAATTGAAAAATTGAATGGAAGATAGTCGAATCTTATTTGGCATGTTGATTTCCTTTCCCCAGTAAGTGAAATCGAGAGTCACCTCCAATGTCAACTCAGGTAGATCGAAGAACAAATATCCGACTGTTGTCCACAAGTTATTAAACGTTTGCGTCACGTATTCCTAATATATAAAACACGTAAATGATCATAATGTGTGTGTGTTTTACCAAGTTCATTAGAGAGGATATAAACTGAAAAAAACTCTCCGTACTTATTATCTTACTTGTTTTTCAATATGTAATTTGGCTTTGAGAAATGATGATCGGCATGTGTACTGGAAATAGTTGGCGGGCGCTACGTCTCGAAGGAATATACATTTAAAATGAAGGGATGTGCAGTCTGTGAGAAATTTTAATCTCAAACGCGAATATGCCTGAAGTAAAATTTTTTTTCAAACTGTGCATGATAAGCCTGGAGTACCAAATACTCAGCGACGTCGTTTAAGATGATATCGTAACCATTCCTCGGACATTCGGATACACCTGGGAATAGAAGGGTTTGAGAAAATGTCAAAAATATAAGTAAAATTGTTTTTTTTAGTTTTTGGCTGCTACTTGCACGCTATAAACTTGATTTTTTATTGGGTACATCGTATTGTAATCAAAATACACCTATGCATATAGTGCTCCAAGTATTATCTGCTATATATTTCATAGAATGCTGCAATTGTGAATGTTTAATACGCATTACTGTTTATAAAAAAACAGGCTTCCGTGCAGTGAAACAAAATGGAAAGCATTATCAGAGGTTTCATTCCTTTGTCACATCAACGTGATTTTTCAATTGATATACTACTGCAGACTAAGAAACCAACGAGGCGAGCAGCAAAACTGTCGTAGTATCATTGGTCATGCGACTTGACGGTTGTGTTGACAGGTGTGCCGGACACAAGAAGCCAGCTTATTGAAATTTGCTCCTCCGTATCTTAAATTCCACCATTTAATGACTATAAATATGACTGCGGCTCTCAAGCATAGTAGCACAGTTAGTTATTTCGGGATGTTGATGAGAATGTACAGTGACAGACAAACTGCAGCTACCTGAGCCGGTCACGACGAAGCCAGATATACGAGCATGTTCATCGTCCTTCGAGAAAATATTTATGAAAGATAAAATAATGTACTTTGAAAAACAAGGACTTAAAACCCAAGCTGGCACCTTGATCACGAAGAATGCGTAATGACATATTTAGAACCCCGTGTGCGCAAATGAACCGTGCATTTCTGGTCATTCTACTCAAACATTTTCGTGGCATTCGTCGAATGCACCTTTTACTTAAAACTACCCGCCTGTTTACGCATAGAGAAAGGCTTTTTAGACACTTCCCTAGCCAATCAATTTGCCTAATAAATAAGCAGAGTAAATTTTAAAAAATTGTATAAAAATATACTCGTGCAGTTTCTGGCGTTAAAATTAAAACCGCGTTTTTTCCATGCAGTAGAATCCTCCGTTCTACAGTGTTTGATATTTTACCAAACTAAGGGTCCTCGGTTACAATCTATTTGCGTAGGTTTTAATTGAGTGTTCTACGTGAACATATAATGTCATGTTGCATCCTTCGTACATGCACTGCAAGTATTTTTTCGCAAAATAACTAAAATCCATAGTGATAATAAAATCTGTGTGGCGTATCTGACCACTGAAATATGCGATCGGTATGCTCAAACGTTTGCCAGCATAGTTACACTATCTCTTTGCACGTGGCTCCATGGTAGAGCGTTAAACTCCATGACCAAAGACCCCGGGTTCGAATCTCAAGTGATCCGCACTTGGGATTGGGTAAGAATGGCTGATGACGGCTAATAAGCCTGAAATGGCCATTCCGGTCTCCCTTGTCTTTGTCGGCTTCATCTCATCAACGTCTACTACTAATCGCTGTGCGACTGCCTGCGAGGGTTTACGTATGAGCCCCAAGGCGCAAAAGGACGAGCATGTTCTGTAACCTGATCGGAGAGCGCGCATCTGTCATAATTGATATTCCCGATCACAACCGACAGGACAACGGGACCGTGGCTCAATGGTAGAGCGTTAAACTCCATGACCAAAGATCCCGGATTCGAACCTCAATTGATCCACACTTGGGGTTGGGAATGACTGGCTGTTGACGGCTAATAAGCCAGAAATGGTCATTCCGGTCTCCCTTGCTCTTGGTCGGATGCGAGCGTGGCAGTCTTGTATCAAGACTCGGATCATCTTCTTCTTGAAATCTGCCATTGTCCGCTGGCAGAGGTCAGTCCTCACTGGCAGGCTATATCGGAGACATTTCGGCAAGACGTTCTCCTCGAGGCAACGATGCAGGAACTTCAGCTGTGCGTAGGTGGATGACTCTCGTTTAGCAAAAGTCTCCCATCTGCGTGCCGATCGGAGGGCTGTGCGCCCATAGGATAAATCAACATGAGTGAAGATTCGAGGTCCAGATAAATTATCCCGTTCATGATCCGAGTCTTGATACAAGACTGCCACGCTCGCATCCGTAATTACCGACGAGCGATAGAACAGCATATTTCTGCATGCCGGTCAATAGTCACCCCACACGATCTGCAAATGTTGGAATCGACAATACTCAGCAATGCACGTTGCCACCGCAGGTTGCGCGACAACCAATTGCTAGAGAAGTTCGGAAGAATATGTCCACAAACGGAGCCCTTTACTGACGGTGTCCTGGTTCACAACCTCTCGTCTCGTCGCCTCACACAACAACAGCTGGAGGTTTTATCCTATGACGCCAAGTTCAACACCAGAGATGCTCGACCGGAAGATTTCATCGCATCCTTCGAGTCGGCCCTTCAAAAGTGTGAAGCCAACGAGGAGTACAAAAATTCCATGCGGCAGCAAGTGTCAACTCTTCTCCTCCAGCACAAACCTCAACGGGTGATTTCCGAAGCAGAAGACCGAGAACTTCTGAGAATGCGGAAGATGAGGGATATCGTCACCCTGCCCGCCGACAAGGGACGCTCGACGGTTGTCATGGACAAGACCGAGTACACGACGAAACTGGAAGGTCTGTTGGAGGACGAAGTTGCCTATAAGCTTTCAGAGACTGGAGAGTTCAAGAAGCACGTGAACGGTGTAAACAAGGCGATAGACAAGTTAAGGAAGGCAGGAGCCCTCAAGAGACAGGAAGCACTGGCCGCAAAAGCCACCGATGCCGCCATGGCGCGCTTCTACGGTCTGCCAAAAGTGCATAAACCGGGAGTACCTCTGCGCCCCATAGTCTCATTACGCGGCACCCCGACATTTGGACTGTCGAAATGGCTTTACCAACGATTCCGTTTCCTGACCGGGGATTCCGAATGGACGGTGAAATCGGCTGAGCAGTTTTTTGAGGAGTATCAGACATCTAGAAATAGAGTCAGACGAGATGATGGTATCGTTTGATGTGGTCTCCTTATTCACCTCCATTCCAACGGACCTTGCCATCAGCACCATTAACGAGCTTCTTCAGGAGAAGTACGATGAAACTGATCAACGGCTTAAACGAACGCACGTCATCGAACTCCTCGAATTGTGCCTCAGAACTTTCTTCACTTTCAACAACCGGGTTTACGAACAAAAGAAGGGAACACCGATGGGCTCCCCGCTGTCTGGACTGATTGCCGA